GGGCGCGCCTCCCTGCGCTCTGCGCCCCGCCACCGCTGCGGCTGCCGAGCGCTCGGGGGGCCGGGCCCCCAGGCTCTGCTCATTCTCTCCCCCTGAGCTGCGCGTCCACAGCCGACCCTCTGTCGTGGGGGCGCTTACTGCGGAGAGGCCTCGGGCTCTGACTCGCTCCCGCCTCAGTTTCCCCGTGTGTCTGGGTGGCTCCAGGTGTGAACCCGTGCCTCGGGCATCTCCCAGAGCCTCCCTTCAGGCCGCCAAGGGACCGATGATTCCCTAAAGGGAATGCCCCGCCCTCTGGGGCCCCTCACCTGCGGCAAGGGCTCCCGGCATCTGCGCTGCAGGCGGGCGACCTGCTCCTCCAGCAGCTTCCCTCTCTGGGCCAGGCCCTGGCCGTGCCTTCTGCTCTCATCCAGGGCCCTGTGCAGCGCATCCAGTTGCTCCTAGGGAGAAGAAGGAGAGGGTGTCTTGGAAACACGGCTCCCTGGGAAGGAGAAGCCCAGGGCGTCGGCTTGGGCCCTGCTGCAGGTCGCTGGGAAGAGGCAAGAGCAGGCCAAGTACAACCTGCAGCCATCAGGCAGTTTCGGATGGAACCACGGTGGGGAGGGGGCTGGGGTGCAGGACTTGCTGCAAGGCTCCACTTGGCAGGTCCTCTGCTGTGGTCAGAGCGGCCTCAGAGGACACACCTGGCATTGCTCGCCTGCTTCCAGCCGTTGGAACGAACATGAGAGTCCTCCCGAGCCCATGGAGCCTGTTGAGCTGAGCCCCTGTGCCCCCCTCTCCCCGCCTTCTGCCTCTGAGATCTACCACCACGTGCCCCCTGGCCTCGGCCCTTCTGACCCTGCTGTGTGCCCAGGAGCGTCCGGCCCAGGACACCGTCCCCTGCCCCACAGACGCCAACGGCCCAGGCACCCGGGAAGGCCCACAGCCCTTTCTCCTCCCTCCATCCACTCACACACCCCTGCCCCATCCTTGGCCCTTCTGCCTCAGCCCGCCCAAACTGTCACCATTTCCTTGGGCACCTGCGACACCCCCACCTTTCTGTCTCCGTACAGGCTCCACAGGGTGGCCCGAGCACACACGTTGGTCTGTATGTGGGGAGGGCACGCTCTGTACCGCACCTGTTACCCTGGTGCAGTCAGCAGGGCCCTGACCCGGGGCCATTTCCGACATGGACAGCAGAACCGGGGGCTCCAGAGGTAGGCAGCGTGTCAGGCCGCAGAGCTCCCTGCAGCACTGTGGCGGCTCAGATGCCGGGGCAAAGCCGGGGCGACTTGCTATGACCCGCGGTGCCTCCCCAAGAAGAGCGCAGGTGGGGTGTCACCGCCTCCCCATGGCCCTCAGGATGAAAACTATCTAGGGAACGTGGCTGCCCCTTCAAACCCACTGCCCTGCTCACTCTCGAATGACAGCCTCTTGCTGCTCCTTGCCTGGAGCACCGCCCGATGTCCTCTCAGCCCGGGGCCCCGCTGCGCTGGCTTCCCCGCAGTGATGCTTGGCCTTCTTTTGGCCATCCTCCCTGCTCTGCTGCTGCTGTCACCCCTGCTCTGAGCTTTCCCCAGGAGGACAGCGCCTGTTGTGTGTCCTGGGCCCTGGAGCGGGCGCACGGTGGGCCTGGAGAGGTCCCATGAGCAGACAGGCACGAACAAGCCTACAGGAGTCACCTGGGGAACTCGCCTGTGACGCCACATGGCTTTGTAAGACCAGGCCAGTCTCCGGGTATTGAAGCTTTCCGAGTGTTTCGCAGGGGAAGTGGCCAGTGCCTCTTGTACCTTGGACTCTGGAAACTCAGGGGTCACACCCGCTGGTGCTTCGATGGCTAAGCGGGAAGGCAGAGGTGTGGCGCTAAGGGGAGTCCTGTGGTTTTCTACAGGGGAGCCGGTGGTCGCTTGGGCTCAAGGGGGCGAGAAGTGGAAGAACATGACTTGGACTTTAGAGACAGCCTGGAGGGGCCGTGTGGGGGCTGAGGAGCAGGCGGTGTGCCAAGGACTCCCAGGCCTCTACTGCTGGGGTGGTCCAGGACCCACTTACCAATCTGGGAAGGTGGGCAGGGGGGAGCATTTGGGGGTGGAGGTTCAGAGTTCAGTCTTGAGGGGTTCTGCCTAGGAGTCACTGGATGTGGGGGGCAGTGTCACGGAACCAGGTGGCTCTGGAGGCCCAGGGCACTGAGGGCCAGGGGAGGGGAGGCTGACGTGGTGAGAGGCCAGAGGGGAGAGAACAGGTCCCGGGTCAAGTGGATGTTAGAGCAGAGGGGGGAGGAGGAAATGGCGGCCTAGGGAGGACCAGAGGGCTGGCAGAAATCAGGAGGGAGAGGTTAATCCCCTCGATGGAATGCCCCCAAATGTCGGGCAGACACAGACCCAAAGGGGACCCTTTGGATGGGACCAAATGTTGCTGATGACCTTTGCACGTGCACGTGCGCGCGTGCGTGTGTGTCTGTGTGAGGGTGGAGGGAAGGGCGGCTCTTCCCAGAAGTCTGGCTGGGGGAGGGGAGACAGGGCCAGCAGGGGGGCGGTGGGGGGCTGCAAGAGGTGCTTGTTTAGGAAGAGGGACAGCAGGCGCGGAGCTGGAGAGGAAAGCCAGAAGGCATAGGGACCCCCTGATGAGCCTTGCAGGTACCAGCCCTCAAGTCACAGGTGCCCGTCTGGGCCGGCGAACGCAGCATTCACAGCCGTGTGTCTGGGGGGCCTTCCCTCCCGTCCCTCATCGGTCGTCCCAAATGCTGGCGCGACCGTAGCCCTGCTCGTGGAGGAGGCGGATTCAGAGGAGGCAGGAGAGTGACCCCTGGCAGAGGGGGGCAGTGGGCTGAGCCTGGACGTACTTCCTTTTGTCTGATGCTTTAGTGCTTCAGAAATGGACAGTGGGGAGGTCAGTGCTTGTGCCTAACACGGCAAGGTTTCAGCCTTCCCTGAAAGTTTGGAAACTACCATTTTCTGTTTGTGCACATTTCCAGGAGAAAAGCAGAGGTTTCCTTCAAATATGGCTTAAATATTTCATGGTATTTTAAAGAGGCCCGAACCACTTATGTGAAGCATTATGCTCCTCTTGTAATGACTCAACTTTTATGGAATTAAAATTAACCGTAATAATTGAATGGTGCACCCTTTATGAACATTGCCTGCTGCGCCACTGATCTGGTGTCGCTGTGGTTCTGAGTCCTGGTGCCGTACGAGATGTGAGCTAGGCCAGCGAGCCTCGTAAACCCATGTTCAGTCTGAGGGTCCAGGTAGCCGCAGGAAAATGGGAACTGCAGCCCCATGCAGGGTCCTGCCCTCTGGGAGCCCTTGGGCCAGTCCCAGGAGAGCCCAGCACCAGGCAGCGCTCAGATGTAAGGGGGACTCGGTCCCCTGGACCAGGGAGCCCAGGGTCTGGTGCCGGACACCTCTGGACTCTGCCCTGTCTGCCTGCCGGTTTGTCCATCCTTGTCCCAGCCCCTCCTGCTTTGACCATACCAGCCTTATCATCAGCTTTACTATTGTTTTTCAAAATTTCCATTAAAAATCTCAAACATACACTCTTCTCCATAAACTTTGCGATTAGCATGCCCTGTTTCCCTCCAATCATACCGTAAAAAAATAGACAAAACCAAACCAAACAAGCAAACAACCAACCAACAACCTACAAACCAGGAACATATACACAGACCCATCCAGAAGCTGATCGAAAGATCCCAACTGCCCCAGAGCCTCACCCTCTCACCAGTAAAACTAGAGGTAGCAACAGAAAGAGACACAACTGATGACTTTGAATTGTCCACATGAAAATAAAGAGCCATAGTTCCAAAAAAAAAAAAAAAAGAGACACAAACATGTCATCGTTCTTTTAAATAACCCTTGCATTAAGAAGGTAAAAGGGAAACTCCCAGAAAACTGGTAAAAAGAAAAAGAATTCATGTCAGAAATCCATGGCACGCACACCAAACCACAGGTGGGGAAAACAGGACAACACGAAATGCTCTGTTGAGAGACAAAGCCTGCACGTAAATCCGTCACTTACTAAGTTTAAGAAATGAGGAAAATCACAACAACAACAATATTAATATAAGCCAAAATGAATCACTGTAGGTAAAAAAAAATGAGAAAAGAGATAAAAAGACCAATAAAACAGACGAACTGTTGGCGGGTCGAATTAAGAGAAACGAACAGAAATCTCCAACACCACGAAACAGATGTGGCCACAGAGAGATCCGATAGAACCTCGGTGTAAGAGAGTTCCAACTCCAGGTAGAACTCCAATGTAAATAAAATGTGAAACAAACAACATGTGCGGGGCCTCGGCGATGCATTTAAAATTAGGAGCCGGAAGGCCAGCAGATGGCAAAGGTCGGAGGAGGCGGGGGAGGGAGCGACTATTGTCAAGGGGACGGAGGTGCGGGCCAGTCCTGCACAACCTTCCAGGGCGGCTGAGCTGGGCTGGGCAGTGTCCTGCAGACGACAGAAAAGGATGGAAAGCCCACCAGTCCACTGTATGAAGAGAAAATAATCGGAACACCGAAACTCTGAGGAATTTGATGCCCTGCAGGGCACGGGGCATCGCATCCAGCCGGGTGGACCCTGCCCACCTGTGTGGCCTGCCTTGCCCAGTCTGCCAGCCCAGGAGCTTCTGGAACCGGACTGACGCTCAGCTGGGGCCCTGGGAGGAGGGTTCTGGAGAAGAGGACGGGCGGGTGCAGAGCCGCGGGGTGGCTCTGGCCCGTTTGGTTGGCGCCACGAGGACCCCTCTTGCCCCTCTGATGGGAGGACCCCCCACCCCCGGCTGCCTCTCCCGGGGGTGTGTGTGGGCCCGCGCCCCCCACTTGCCCGGAGGCCACCAGCTGCCTGCAGGACCCCCACGTGCAGTGTGGAGCACGTGTCCTGATGCTCTGGGCCCCGTTCTGCATTGTTGATCTACTGAATTCCCAGGGTAGCCCTGGAAACGGGGAGGGATTTGCTCTCAAACAAGAATCTTACTGTTTGCATAGCACAGCCTACCATTTAATTAGAAAAATATGTTTTTAATTAACTTTCTCTTGACAAACACATTGGCTTATGTGAAACGGGGGAAAACCCGGTCCGTGAAAGTGAAAGCAGCCCTGTCAGACGCGGACCTCACTCTAGCACACCCTGGCGGCCTGGCCTGCTGACCTGCTGAGGGCGGCGGGGGCAGGGAGTGCGGCCGCGGGGCCTGAGCCCCTCGCCCCCTGCACACACTGCTGCTTGGATCTGCTGTTCGTCAAAAGGGCCTGGGGCCTCCGGGCCTCCGGTGGGTCTGAATCCCCCTCCCAGGTGCCCACCTCAATGGCCAACAGGTTACAAAAATTGGGAAAAACCTCCCTCAGGGTTGGAGACCAGAGACTTTGGAGGTTCCCATGAGATGGAGGCAGACGGAACCAACTGGTCTAAAAATAGGAGAATTACCAGAATTCTAGGAACAACTTGACATGATGCTGATAGATTTTAGCACCGACACTTCACTGAAAAATTGAGTCAATTCTTAAGGAGAAAAATGAACACGGATAGAGAAGATCTGAACAACATCCGAGCCCTCTGCACGCATGTGAGGAAGCCTTGCATGGGAACCTGCCAGAACCCTAGGGACGCTGACGCAGAGCCGGACTGGAGGGGAGGCCTCCAAGGCCCCCAGTCCCCTGGCAGGCAAGTGCCGGAGAAGAGGAGCTCGGGACGTCCCCCACCACAGCCGGCCGTGCCCCCCCGAGAACGGGGCCTTCACCCTCCTGGTCCCTGGAACAGGAAAGTTCTGGGACCGCTCGGTGCTGCCTCCTCCTCGGCCCCACAAGCTCCCCACAGCCCCTGGGGGCTCCCCTTTCTGTCTTTCAGTGTCAGCCCGAAATATCTGGACAGGGACAGGTGAAGTCCCAGGTGGGTCCTCCCCACTCCTGACTTTGAACCACACCCCCTTATTTTTTTTTTTTTTTAAAGATTTTATTTATTTGACAGAGAGAAACACAGTGAGAGAGGGAACACAAGCAGGGGGAGGGGGAGAGGGAGAAGCAGGCTCCCCGCGGAGCAGGGAGCCCGATGCGGGGCTCGATCCCACGACCCTGGGATCATGACCTGAGCCGAAGGCAGACGCTTAATGACTGAGCCACCCAGGCACCCCCAGGCCCCCTTCTTTGAAGCCAGGCAGAGGGAAAACATCTCGACGGTAGCAATCAACTGTGGTTCAAGAGACAAAGTCAATCTGAGGGACGGATCTTAGGGTCTTGAATGAAAAGAGAACGGAGTTATTGCAAGAAATGGGAACAGGTGTCCGAAGATGTGTACTGACCGTCTCAAGAAGGGGACGCCAAGGGGGGAGCCAGAGTAGGAACAGTCGAGATGAAAACCAAAAGGACCGACCCAGGGCGGGGATTAGATTAGACAGCAGTCAGATCAGCTAACCTGGACGAAGACCCTAAGTTCTCTGGGACACGGGCGGGGAGCCAGGGACAAGAGGGTGATAGCAGCAAGGAGGACAAGGCCCGGAGAGCAGGGCTGCGCTGCAGTGAATTTTGGGACAAAAAGAATGGGAAGGGGGAGAAGCAATGTTTTTTAAGTGGAAATCACTTGCATCAGCTGAAGACAGATTTGATTCTGCAGAGAGGGCTCCATAGGCACAGGATAAAATGACGGAGGAAGCAAGTCAATGTTTTGGCACATTTTTGAATTTCAGAGATAAACGGGCCTTCTGGCTTCCACTCTGGAGGGAGCGATCCAAACAGCCCACAGCACACTTACCTTTCTTGAACTCATCGGAGGATGAGGCCACAGTGCAAACAACAAAAGACATCGAAGTAGAAACAGACCCCTCCCAGAGAAATGGGCTGCGAGCCTCATTCACCCGTGTCCCCCGCACAGGGGAGCGCCTGCTGATGTGCGGGGCTGGCTGCCGCGCCAGGTGTGGTAGGCCCCTGGGTCCTGCGGCCCCAAGATTACCTGTGAGCACGTTAGATCACGTCGTGGATGGGATCAGGGCTCCTACTCAGTTGGCTCTGAATCAACCAGAGGGGAGATTATCCCGGTGGGCATGACTGGCCCCAGGAGCCCCGCGGGCTGGTGGCGGGGAGCAGGGGGGCTTGGGTGTGAGGGTCCTGCTGCCACTGCCGTGATGTGAGAGCCCACGGGAAGGCCCAGGCCAGGGGCCGGAGACGCCTCCGGAAGCCACTCGGTCCTCAGCTGGGAGGCGGGCTGCCAGGAGCCTGCGGGGGCTTCTGCCAAGAGCCTCAGGTGAGGATGCAGCCCGGCCCGCCCGGGGGTGCCCCACGCAGGGCTCCTGGCCTGCAGGACTGGGAGCTCACAGACAGGCTACGCCATCAGTCTGTGGTGGCTGGAGCAGGGTAAAGGAATACAGTGTGGGCTGCCGTGAGTAGAAAGCCCTTGGGGTCTGCGGACGGGAGGCGGGGTTCAAGTTCAGGGGCAGGCCCTTCACGGACCCCCACCGGGCCCTTAGAAGGAAGGTGGAGGCAGGGCAGGGCCCCAGCGGAGAGACAGCTCCTTCAGCCTCCAGACGCAGGTGCAGAAGCCTAGGGGCTGCGAGGACAGCCCCCCCACCCCCGGGCACAGTGCAGCGAGGCATTTGCTGTCAACACTCCCCGCCCCCAGGAAAGGGAAGGGGGCGCAAGTAACCCTAAAATAAAGGATGGAATGGAAGTCATGAGGAAGCATTAAATCAGCAAGTATCCTATCAGCAATCAAAGAAAACCAGAGCACGGAAATTACCCCAAAACTTGTAAGTGGGATAAATTCCCTTGGAAAAGGCAGAGACTCCAGGGCGGGCTCAGAGCCAAGGCCAGGCTGTGGAAATGACTGGAAACATACAGGGCGGGGGCGCAGAGTGAAGATGTGGGGAGGGGCGGGGGGGGGCCTGCTGGTGGTGGGTGCAGCAGAACTCCAGACAAATGGCATTCAGCGGCACTCGGTCCTCTAGGTGCCAAGAGTCAGAGCGGCCGAGAAACATAAAATTCTGAAGAACATGCCGTGGAAATCTATAAACCCAAGACTCTTAGAAATAAATGAGGTGTTGTCCCCCCAAATTGTAATGGCAAAATTCAGCACATTGCTCCTAGCTTTGATGAACTCAGGAAACAGATCCAATGTGGAGTATTTGGTTGACATTTGTAAAGGTTGACTTAATAAGATGTATTTGAACATGCATAACGTGCAAACAGAAAACGTTATTTTCAAGTGTGCACGGAACACATGCATGTGAACACAGCCCCAGCCCCCCTGCCCCGGTTTCTTGGACCCCCACGTCTCCTGGGTGTCTCACCAGTCCGGCCACAAGCCCGGCCAGGCCCCTGGGCCTCGCCACTGCCTCTCCCAGCCTTCCCCAGTGGTGGTGGCCAGAAGGCCTTTGAAACTCGGGACCCCAGGCGTCCTCACAGATGTCCAGGCTGGGTCTCAGTCCCAGCCTCCCAAGCTCCCCACGCTTTCTCTGTGGGTCCGGCTCTGCTCCCCGCCCCGGCCCCACATGAGGCCCCTCCTCACAGGCTCTGGGCCCCACGTGGACGGAGGGCTCTGAGAGCCACCAGGCTCCAGGCTGAGCCCTGCACAGAGTGAGTGTGTGCTGGCCTGGCCTCTGCACCTGCCCTCTGAGCCCTCTGACTGGCAGACTGCCTCTGGGGCCCCGAGGGCCGCCCAGCCCACGGCTCCTGCACCCTGCAAGGCCACCTCTCCTTACAGGACACCGGCAGGGCTGCCGGGCCTCTGTGTCGGTGGGGCTGAGATGGCCTGTCCTGCCCTCAGGTCCCGTTCAGTCCCTCTGCTCTGCTGCTCCCATCAGCATCATCTTTCCAGGGTGGGGCCAGGGACCCTGAATCCCTGAGATCCCTCTGCGGAGCCTGTGTTCCCTCATCTTGTGTGCTGGTCGCCATGCCTCCAAGGGCCTCAAAGAGCTTTCTGGAAATGGTAGCCTGGCAGCTTCAACTTCCCAGACCCAGCTGCTCCCCAGCCCAGTCCTGCTGAGGTTGCTTTGACTTGCGGCCTCGGGTGGGGTGCAGGGCTCCCCTGTCCAGCCAGGCCTCCTCCACTCCCAACCCAGCTTCCTCACTTGAAAGCAGGGGACCCAAGGCCACCTTCACAGCACAAAGCCCATATATGGGACATTTACCCAAATTCATCCTGTGTAACCTCCTTCTGAGTCTGAGTGACACAGTAAGCCGATCCTGTAGCCACGTAAATGTGCATTAATGTGACCCCACAGAGGGCTCTGAGGCTGGGCTGGTGTCACCCTAGGCCTGCCGGCATGGCCACAGAGAGACGGACAGGCCGGGGAGGCCGGGGGTCTGCCCTGCCTCTGGCCCTGGCCGGCTCTGCCACGGGGGCCAAGTGGCTCCCTATCCAGGACCGTTTCCCCAATCTGTAAAATAAGGGCAGGGACCACCTTTGAACAGCTCTACCGGGGGCCCCTGATGAGCTCTGTGGGGCCACATGTCCCTTGAGGCCACCTGCTGTGCCTCTGCCCATAGGGATCTGAAACCCCCTCCCCCAGAAACCTTCCTAGTCTCCCTCCCACCTCCCTGACCCCAGGTCCCCACGGCCTCATGGCCCCACCTGCAGCCTCCGCTTCTCCTGGCCGGCCGCCTGCGTGCTCGCCAGGTACTTGAGCTCCAGCCTCTGGAGCACTTCCTCCTGCAGGGCCCGCGCCGCCTGGGTGCTGCTCATCTCGGCCTCTGCCTGGCGCCAACCTGTGGGGCAAGCAGAGGCTTGCCTGGCTCCCAAGCTCTGTGGGGCTGCCACGTGGGCAATTGCCCCCACCCATTTCACAGGCCAGGAAACTGAGGCTTGGCGAGTTTAAGTGTCTGGCACCTGGATGGTGGAGGCTGGAGAGGCCCCCCTCTGACAATTCTCTGCTCCTCCTGTTTGAAGCTCAAGGATCCCTGGGGGCGGGTTTGGGGTCCTGGCTCCCTCTGCCTGCTTTTCCTTTTCTCCCACCTTCTTTCCTTCCATAGACATTCCTCCTTTGAGACTGTGCTAGGCCCTGGGCCCACCTCCCGGGCAGACCCGCTCATGGGGGGAGGCAGGGTGACCAGCAGGGCAGGAGCACTCTCTGAGGGGGCAGAGGGCAGAGACCTGATGGGGAGATGGGTCTCATGACTGTGGGTGGAAGAGAGCTCCAGGGGGCCTGCACAGTCAGTGCAAAGGCCCTGAGGTAGGAACTATAAGAGGCCGGTGTGGCAGGAGGGTCTGGGTCCCCGCAGGGTCTCTGGACTTTAGTCCCCTTTCTCGTCCCACTGCCGAGAAAGCAGCCAGCCAGCTGCCACATGCCAGGTACGTCCCAGGGAGGCACGCAGGTTTGGCGCTGCCCCCGTGGCCCAGGTCTGAGCACTTCCCAAGACCGCACACGCCTGGCAGCCAGGGGCGAGGCACCCGGGGAACCCCTGGGGAGGTGGCGGGTGCCCCTCACAGCGATCCTTGAGGGCAGGGTGAGGGAAGGGACGTCACCTTCCTCCGCGTCTGCCCGCGCCTTCTGTAGCTGCCGCACACGGCTCTGGGCTTGGGCCCGCTCGCTCTCTGCCTCACTCAGCCGGCCGCTCAGGCTTACCGCCTGGAAGTGCCAGTCGTCCTGGGCGGAAGGACCCAGGTCAGGGGGCAGCCTGGGGGGCAGTGCAGGGCCGAGGTCCCGGGCGGGAGGAGTGGGGGGCTCGGGCACGCTGACCTGGACCCCAGTGTGTGTTATAGCGACGCCTGGTGCCAGGGGCTCTGCTGCCCATTTGGAAGAAGAGAGGACCCTGAGCCATTTGGGGCAGTCAAGCTTTGAGAGACCGTGGTATTTACTGCTATTCATCATGCCAAACAAAGGACAGTGTGAACACTGAGGAGCCCAGTGGCCCACAGGGCCCCGCCAGGGTCTCAGCAGACCTGGGACAGACAGACAGATGGACAGCAGGGTGATGAGCGGCTTCTCCCTCTTTCAGGAGCCCCCAGGGCATGTCCTCTGCACTCCCTTACCCGTTCCCTCTGGGCATCCTGCAGCTGCTGCACCAAGTCCCGCAGGGCGTCCCACACAGAGTCCACGTCCACCTCCGGGCTGTGGTCCCCAGGTGCAGGTGAGGGCCATCGCAGTGGGGAGCGGGACCGGGCGGGGGGGCTGGCCCTCTGCCGCGGGGAGCGAGCCTGGATGCCATCTGAGCCTGCAGGACGGTCGGTGCCAGCTGAGGGGACGGGGTGGGGACGTGGTGACGGCCCCCACCCACAGGGGGCTTGGGGGGGGGGCATGGGAGTCCAGGCCCCTCACTGTGTGGGTCATGAGGCCCGGGGGAAGGGGTGTATGTCCTAGGTGGGTGCAGAGCCGGGGCAGGAGCCTATCTGAAGCCATTGAGGACACTGACCTTTCCTGGGGAGGCTGGGCCGCTCAGGGAAGCCTGAGGGTCTCTGTCCCCGGAGCCCCAGGCCACGGCACAGCGTGGACCACAGCCGGCTCAGCTGGCCCTCCGAATCCCGCTTGGCACCCTCAGCCTGAGCTAGAGCCTGCTCTAGGCTGTGGACCTGGCGGCAGGCCTCGTCCAGGCGAGCCTGCAGGCCCTCAGCCGCACCCCCGGCCCGCTGCAGCCTCCTGGGGGCTGTGCGAAGCTCGGCCCCGACGGTGTGCTCGGCCCCCTGGCTCTGGCAGAGACGCTCCTCCGGCCGCTGCTTCTGGGCCTCTGCTGCGGCCTCCACCTCCGCCAGTTTCTGCTGCAGCCTCAGGACCTGTGGGAGGGATGTGAAGAGCCACCTGTCCCCTGAAGCCCCGCCCCCAGGCCTCTTGTCCTGTCCACTCCTTAGGGAGCCCCTCAGACTCCCTCCTTGGCATGTCACAGCTAGGGGGATCTCGGACCTGCCTCCCAGTCCGTGTTTGGCAGTGGGGACCCCTGAGCCCAGGTGGGGAAGGACACCCCAGGTCTCTGGAGCACATCCTGGCAGACACGTGAAAACCCCAGGCCGGACAGAGCTGTGACCCTCGGCTGTCCCCGCCTGTGGCCTGCCACGGCTCCACCTTCAGCCAGCCCCATGCTTGTGGCCTGTGGTGCGACGGGCTGGGTCAGCCTCCTCCAGAGCCCAGGGCTGGGGAGCCTCAGGGTGCCTGGCACAACTCCAGGGCTCCTAAGGGCCGGCACAGTGGGTCAATCGAGGGCTGCCCAGCACATGGTCAGGGCCGTGGGAACACACACGTGCAGGTGTGGGTGTAGGTGCGTGCTCTGAATCCTGAGGCTCTTTGAGAATTGGGCATTTCGGGGGCCCCTGACTGTCCCTCAGCTCAGAACTCACGTCACCTGGGTGAGGCTGTCCGTTTCTAAAACACGAGAACCCTAGGAGACGCAGGGGTCACCACTTTCACGGCGTTAGCTCAGTCAGAGCCCCTGTCCCTCCACCCTGGCTGCACCCAGCCCCGCTGGGAAGTGGGAGAGAAGACAAGCAGGTGGGCCCGCGGAGCGCACGTGGGCAGGAGCTGGGCCGGGCGGCCCTGGATCCCAGCCCCTGTGGCAGCGCTGGTGCCTTCTCTGCAGGCTGCTCAGTCCTCCTACCTCCCTCTGGGTGCCCTCACAGGCCGCCTCCGTGGCCAACCTCTGTGCCTGCAGCCCCTCCCGCTGGCTCTGCTGCTGCTGCTGGGTGTCCTGAGCGCCCCGGACCTGCAGCTGGCTCACCTCGTGGCTCTTTCTCCGGTTCTCAGCCTCCAGCATGTTCACCTGTGAGTGTGGGGCGGTGCTGATGGGGTCACTGGCACCCTCCTGGACCCCTGCCTCTGCTCACATGTCCTGCGGGGGGAGCCTTCCTTTGGGGCAGCGCCCGCACTCAGGGCATGGGGGGTGGGGGTGCCCTCGGAGCCAGGACACCGTGTGGGAAGGAGTGGGTTGGGAGTGGCATCAGGGGGGCTGCTCTGGGCTCCTCGCCGGCCCTCACTCACAGGGACCCTGGTCCCACACACCTCTCCGTGCCTCCGTGGCCTCATGTGGAAAGGAAGGTACCAGAACCTTCGTCACAGGAGGGCTATGGGGGGTAGAAGGAGGGAGGGGCAGGACATGCCTGGTCCAGAGGGAGCCCAGGGCATCTCATGAACCGCTCCAAGTCTGAGGACGGTCGACAGCTTGGAAAGGCCTCTGGCCTCCAGGGCCGTCTAGGCCCCTCCTCTGAGCCATCTTGGCCCCGGTGAACTCAGCATAAGTGGCTCTTGACTGTGGAAGCCGAGGCCGATAGATGAGTTCTCAAGCCCAAGGTGGCCATGCGGGGAGGCGTGGCGGCCAGGGCCCTGGGGGCACCCCAGCTGATGGCCAGGCCAGCCCTGGGCCGCGAGAGCCTGGCTGCTGTGGGCCCGCCCAGCCCTGCCCGCAAGTCCCCCACCGTGGAGTCTTCTTGGCACGTCCCCTCTGCGCCCTGGCTGAATTCCTGATCCTGAGTCCATGAGGGTCAAAGTGGTTGTTCTTAGCCCGTAAGTTTGAGGCTAGTCGTCTGTACCCCCCCTGGCGCACATCGAACGGGAGCCCCATGGGTCCAAGCAGGGCCCTCCGGCTGGTGGCTTCCAAAGACACAGGCAGCAAGGCCATGTCCTGGAGCTCCACTGCAGCCTGCGGGCACCCGGGGAGGGGGGACAGAGCTGGGGCCTGGGTGTGCGGGATGGGGACACCCCTGTGGGGGCGGGGCTCCGGGACGGCTGCCCTCACCTGCCTGCCCAGCTCCTGGAGCTCCCGGTGGGCCTCTGCCTGAGCCTGCTCCACCTCCCTCAGCCTGGCCCGCAGCTCACAGGCCTCCTTCTGGGCCACGGCTCGGGCCTCCTCCAGGACCAGCACCTTCTGCTCCCCTTCTTCCTTGGACCTCTGAAAACTGAGCAGCACATCACAGCTGGGGTCTATAGCATCTCCCATAGAGACTTCCTGCCACCCACCTCACTCTGGCCAGATGCCTCCCCTGTGGCTCAGTTCTCCAGTGTCCCAAAGCCCAGCCCCCCTGGGGCGGCCTCCCTACCACCTTCGGGGTATCCGAGGTCTGAGCGCCCAGCTGGCTCTGCCCCTTTCCATGTCTCTGGACTCTCCCCCTGCCGTGCTCCTCTCTCCAGCCACACTCCCAGAGACCCAGTGCCCAGCAGCAGCCCGGCACCTCTGCCACGCCCCTCTGAGGGCTGCAGTGCTGGCCTCGCTGTCCTCAGAGCCCCGGACCCGGCCCCTCGGCCTCCGTTGGCTCCCAGCCCTTGGCTGTCTCCCGTCTGGCACCTCAGCCTCCCCCCCCCCCAACCGTGTGTAGGCATGTAGAGACAGACAACTGGCACCCCGGCTCCGCTTAGTGAGCCCACCCCGCACCATCTGGCCCGTGTCAGGAAAACACCCCACATCCCACGTCCTCTGTCCCCTGGATGAGCTTGGGGGCTGGGCCGGCTCCCTGACAGGTGCTCCAAGGGGGCCTGGTACCTGGCCTTCTCCTGCTCAGCCCTGCGGATCGCGGCCCGTAGCTCAGCGTTGGAGCACCGCAGCGCGTCCTGCTCGCGGGCCTCATCACCCAGGGCCCGCTGGGCCTCCAGGGCCTCCCTGCGAAGCCCCTCACGGCTCTCCTCGCTGCCCCGCAGCTCCCCGTGCAGCACAGCCAGCCCCTCCCGGGCCTCGTCCAGCTGGGCCCGCAGCCTCTCGGCCTGGGGGAGGAGCATGGGCCGTATGGCCCACCGGGGCAGGGGTCAGGGGCTGTGGATCGGGCTCTGGTTCTGTCTGGCAGTGCCGATGTACCCCCAGCCCCGCGTCCCCAAGTGCTTGAAGGAGAAGCAGATAAGCTGGGTTTGCCCCCTGGGGGTCACCTCCCCTACTGCCATGAGGCTGCAGGGTGGTTCACGAGGGCTGGTCCCGGAGCCCAGGGAGGTGACCCTCGGACTCTGCTGGTCCTGGTGTTGCCCCTTGCCCCCTCCCTGGACTCCGGGGCTGCTGGTCACTGGTCAGCCCCCACGTCCGCACTGTCCCCGCCCAGGTCCAGTGGCCTCTGCTGCCCCACCTGCTGTCCCCTTCAGCGATGGTGTGGCACAGGGGCCGCTGCCCACCCCGATGTGGGCAGCAGTGCCAGTCGCCTGGGCTCCCGACTCCGGCATGGCTGTGGGCACACCCACCCGGCGGCCCTCATTTCCCTATCTGGTGGGAGGCCAGGGGAAGGGGGGTCTCTGGGTGGTGGCCCTTAGAAGGCCCACTCCGGCCAGGTTGTCCAACCCCCCGGGTAGCAAGGGCTCACCGTCGCATGAATGCTCTGTGCAGAGTGCTCCACGAAGCACGGACACCCTACACCCAGGGGTGGGGGGCAGGAGGGGCCCCAGGTGGGCAGGCTCTGGAGCCAGGGGGAACCACGTACTGCACATCTGCCCTGGGCCCGGGGCTCAGCCGCCCAGACTGTAGCCCCTGCAGGCGGACACAAGGATTGGAAGAGGCTGCGGGTGTGAGTCCTTGTCCCCTGTCCCTGCCAGACCTGTTCCAGGCCCAGAAGGGGACACCCCTCGTGCTGTCCTCCCCACACCAGGACACTCCACACACTCTGGGGCCTTCTAGGCAGGCCCTGCCGATTCTGTGGTTCTGTGTGAGGCCAGGAGCTGAGCCCAGGGCCAGAACATGGGTGGGGTCAGGGGTCTTACTCATGCTGCCCTGCGACACAGGGTGCCTCGTGTCAGCACCACCCCCAACCCCTGGAGCGGGGTCTGGAGGAGCGTGCAGACCCATGGAGGGGCCAGCCCACCCTTCAGCACCCGGGCTACGGGGTGGGAGATCTCCAGGCTTGGCCTTCGTAGGCTCCTGCCCTGAGCAGGGTACTCTAGAGAGTGTTCCGTGCAGCCCGGCTGGCCCTGAGGAGGGGGTGGAGGAGGCCAGAAGTGAGCCGACGGAGAGAGGGGAAGCCACAAAAATTTGGAGCAATGTCAAGGCTCTGGTTTGCCAAAAGCAAACCCCACTTTGCTGGCTGTTTCAGCGGGACATTGTCCAGGCCCCTGGCCAGCCTGGCTCCTGTGTCCACCCACTGTTATTGTTGTTCTGTTTTTGGGAAGGGCCTGAGCCCCTCCTCTGCTCCCCTTACACCCCCCACATGTGGGAGCCACAACCGTGTGGAGCAGTTTCCGCAGAGCTCAGCAAAAATCCACCAGGAAGGTCAAGGACCAGCAAAAGGCCCTATCCATCATAAAAGAAGCTGTTTTCATTTCCCAGGGCCGAGGAGATGAAAACAAGCAAAACAAAGTGGGAGAAGGGCCCCCTCTCCCCGCACCCCTACCCGCCTCCCTCATGAAAACAACCGTCCTCCTTACAGGAATTTTACAGCCAAATCACTTAATGTGATTATAATAATTATTTCTTTACTAGAAATCGTATAAACAGCGTCTTTTGAAATCTCCTGCAGGGAGGTGGCTCCAGGACTCTGCACAGTCGGGAAAGCAGGGGAGGGGCTGTTACGGGGCTCTGGCCGGTGCCTGCGTGTGAGCACACACGTGTGTACACATGCAGCACGTGTGAGCGTGTGGGGTGCGCCTGCACACGCATGTGAGTGTGCATGCTCAGTCCACATGCGTGATGTGTGTGCGTGTAAGCTGCGCAGTTGCATTTGTGCGTGCTCGCGGTGTCCATATGTGTTTCCCTGTGAGTGCTGTGTCCGCACATGAGGGCACGTGTGTGCCCGTGTGTGCACGGTGCCGTGTGTTCACGTGTGCATGCGTGCACACCCGTGTAGGGCTTTGGGCAGGGCTGTGAGAAGCCTGGGCCTTCCTTCAGTTTAAAGGCTGTGAAACGTTATGGTTTCCGTGGCAACGGGGCCAGCCTGGCGCCTGGGAGGCTCTTCAGGGCCGGTGCTCCCTGGCTTGTTCCGCCTGCCCCCTCGCCTCAGCCTCCTGCTCCCCCACTCCCTCTCCGGGGGTCCCTCTCCTTTCCGGGGGCTCCTCCCCCTTCTGGGGGTCCCTCTCCTTTCCGGGGGGGCCCCCTCTCTGGGAACCTGAACTTCTCAGGAGGCCTGCGCTTTCTTCTTTCACCTCGCCAGAACAAATGTGCCCCCAGTCTCCTGGCTCCTCCCCTGCAGCCCTTAGTTTTAAAATCTCATTTTGCTTCCCCGTGTGGTCGCTGACCGGGCCTGACTTTGAAATCTGTTGAAAGGAGACCTTTCTCTTTGGGGGCCAAAGTAAACAGCCTGTCATGTTAAATCATGCTCTCTCCCTCCCACTCCCTCTACTGCGGGCCTGTCCCTGGGGGGCTGGGGGAGGGCCGAGGAGCCCCTTTCCTCTCTGCTGCTCGGTCTGGTGCTCCCCTGAGCTCCCGGGTCAGCGCGCTTGCTGCCTGTGGCCTTGGCTCCTAGCCCGGGGAGGGCACGAGGACCCCCCCCCCCACGGCCCCACCTGGGCACTGGCTTACCCTCCCCCAGCCCAAATCCCTCTGCCCTCCTGCCCTCCCCTCTCCCAGGCTCCCCAGGTCCTGTCACAGCTCCCTCAGAAACACCTCCCCAATCTGCTTGCCTGCCTTGCCCAGGACTGTCCCCACCGCAGGACACCATCACGTGGCTCCTGGGGGCCCCGTTTCGACCTCGAGGCCTTGGCCAGGTACATGCATGGTCGCCCCCGAAAACCCCACAAAGCCCCCACACTTCTGCCCCTCTACCCCGGGCACCCCCAGGACGGCTTCACCCCACCAGGTGCCCGGTCCCAGGGGAGTCCCTAGCTCATGCTGCCTGTAGGCAGAGCCTGGCCAGCACCACCTCACCGAGGCTCTTCCCAGGGCTGGTAGGATGGAGGGGTCTCTGGGCTGAGGGTCCACCTCCCCACTCCCCGGGTCACACCTGCCTTTCAGGAAGGCTTTCTCTCCCCTTCTCCCGGCTGCGTCTCTCCCCTCTCCCGGCATCCCTGCTCTCCTGAAACTGCCTCTGCCCCTCCTGGCACCCCTCCCCCTCCCCTGACATCCCTCCCCCTTCCGCTGGCATCCCTTCCCCTCCCCCTTCCC